TCAAAAGGCAAAACCGTGAGGGCTTGAACCCAAAGCGGACAATATCTCACCAATGTGGAGACATGTATATGTGTGGTAACCCCCCTAGGTGCTCAACAAGTGGGTCCATGTGGAAGAGAGGACCCTGTTCGTTGCTAATGTAAGATTGAATAGTTTCCATGTCTCTGATTGGAATATTACAATAAGATATCAAAAAACTTTAATTTTCAAATAATGGAATATTGTTTCTTTTCTTTGATGATATTTCAGGTGTATGTCTTGGCTTTCCCACAAAAAGGATTTGCGAGCTTTGATCTCAATTACAAGAAAGAGGGATTGATATTATTTGTAGCAACGATGGTCACTGCATTTATTGCTTTGTTCAGTTTTCTATGCATAACCTGCAAAGCCATGAGGCGAGACATGCATTTGTGTGCCTCACTCATCGAAAAGTCGGAAGCGACCCAACGAGCTGAGAAAAAGAATAAGAATAAGAGCAATGCTCTTGCAAGTGCAAGCCATGATGTTCGTGCTTCTCTCGCAGGCATCACCGGTTTGATAGATATTTCTTATGACTTAGTGGACTCCGGTTCAGAATTGAAGACCAATTTGAAACAAATGAGTAGTTGTACCCATGACTTACTAGGTAATTAACATCACCCATTCATGCTAAATAAATTTGTCATTCTAATATAATATTCTATCATTAGTCATTACATTGTATCATATAATATAATAGCTTGGTTAACTTGTTTTCTTTCTGTACATTAGGACTGTTGAATTCTATACTTGACACAAGCAAAATAGAGTCAGGGAAAATGCCTCCTGAGGAAGAGGAATTTGATGTGTTCCTTCTCCTAGAAGATGTGGTTGACTTTTACTATCTCGTGGCTATGAAGAAACGAGTAGATATTGTATTGGACCCTTGTGATGGTTCTGTCAAGAGATATTCACGCGTGAAAGGTGACAGGGGAAAACTGAAACAAGTTTTGAGTAATTTGCTGAGCAATGCTGTTAAATTTACTAATGAGGGGCACATAGCGGTTCGTGCATGGACTAAGAAGCCAAGATTGCAGAACTCAACAGTCACTTGTAGCCAATGGAGTTTCAAGAAATCTTTATCACACTTATTTCGTGACAAAAAGGAAGCACGCGGTGACATGGAAACCCTGCATTCAATCCGAGAAGAACCACGTTTCATGGATTTTATATTTGAAGTGGATGACACGGGAAAAGGAATTCCTAAAGAGAATTACAAGTCTGTGTTCGAGGATTATGTCCAAGTTAAAGAAACTGCTTTGGGCCAAGGAGGAACTGGCTTGGGACTTGGGATTGTGCAGAGCTTGGTAAGTATTACTTCTTGTCTAACAACTGTGAATTATATGTTCATTGAGCCACATAAATATTCTCTTGAGAAACACGCACCAACATTATGTTATATGTTTTTTACATTGCAATCTTCTCATAAAAAAACTTTGCATAAGTTTGTTATTTTTATAATAAATGATACCTCATGTGAATTATTTGTTTACTGATAATTGATATACGTGTAAAGTAATTTTTACATTATCACAAGTAAAAAGTCATATCAAGTGTGATATTTTATTGGTTGACTGTGTAAAATTATCAATGTATTACTATTAAACTCTTATAATAATTGGACTATACATGATTCTCATAACAATTCAATCTTAGTCATATTGATTTTTGATTTGTTAATGGTAAGTATACATGCTTATTAAACTCATTTTTTTTAGGTGCGTTTGATGCATGGAGATATTGAAATTAAAGAGAAGGATACCGGTGAAAAAGGAACATGTTTCAGGTTCAATGTGCTTCTTACATGTGAGAATGAGACAATGATCGATGGTAGCACAATGGACGATATTGAGTGTGGATCAAGAGACAAAATCCAAGCTCAGGAGCAAACAATGCATGCTACGAGTTCTAGCTTTAGAGCATGTTCCATGAGTCCTAGGTTACATATTTTCAGCTCTAGTCCTAAGCCTGAGCCTTCTCTCGTGGTTCTTTTCATCGTTGACAAGGAGCGTCAAAGAACATCACAAAGGTTCATGGAGAGGATAGGGATCAAAGTTAAAGTTGTAAATTCAGAGCAAGATTTGTTGGATACTCTTAAGAAGATCAAGCAAAAGCATCAATATTCTGATGAGTCTTCAGATTTGAGTTCTCAATCAACATCTCATAATTCTCCTGTTATATCCACAAGAGTTCCTTTGAGTTCTATGGATGTAATTGAGAACATGCCTTTAGTTTTCAAGAAGACAGATATTGGAGCTACCCCTGGCTTCATCCTTATTGTGATTGATTCTCTTGCACCACAATCTTTTGAGCTTTACCAGAATGTATCTAGCTTCAAAAGAAAGCTCTGCAACCACTGTAAGGTGGTTTGGTTGGTCAAGCCTTTTGCGCGTAATACCAACTTCAATGTCATTGATCAAAATGACATTGTTATATCCAAACCATTTCATGGTAGTCGTTTGTTTCAAACCATAAAGCTTCTTCCTGAGTTTATTGAGAGAAATTCATTGAGGACTTGTGAGGATTCAAGCATGTCAAAATACAGGTCTCCAACAAATAATGGAAGCACATTTCAAAGTGGTGAACAAATTTGGAAGGGAAGTCGACCTTATCAAGGAGAAATACAAGAATGTGGGGACTCATCAGGGTGTAAGAAACCCTTGAGTGGTAAGAAGTTTTTGGTTGCTGATGACTCTGATTTGTTACGCAAGGTAGCTTCAGCTACTTTGAATTCTCTTGGTGCAACTATTGAGGAGTGTGAGAATGGTCAACAAGCTGAGCAACTAGTGGCTGAAGCTCTGTCTCGGAATTTTCGTAATCCTCCTTATGATTACATCTTAATGGATTGTCAGGTAATCACTACTTACTATATTTTTTCTTTCTACTTGTCATTTTATTTCTGAGTTAAATTCGAATTATGATCCTCAAATCAAGTCTTTTGACATAATAATTATAACGTCTATCTTAGAATACAAAAAGTAAATAGAATATTCTTAGTTGATCAATGAAAATCACACTCCATAAACTGTAAATTAATCTTTGATTATCAATTTTAAAATTATGCATGAATCATATTTGATTATTGTTTATTATAACAGTATGTGATTTAATTTTGTATGATTGACTGAATAGATGCCAGTAATGGATGGGCTTCAAGCAACAGAGCGGATACGAGAGATGGAGAAACGGTATGGTGTCCACATTCCTATCATTGCATTGACTGCATGCACTGAAAAAATGGCGGTAGAGACTGGAATAGACTATCATATAGTCAAGCCAATTAAGGGAGAGAATTTACTTGAAGCCATCAAATGTATACATGCCAATACCTCATAAATGCCTGAATATTTTTGCGCATTTTAATGTTAATTCTGTACATTTTGAAGAATAAGAATTTTAAATTTAATCCATGCAGCCAAAAGAGATGCCATATTAATTGAACCAAAAAAAATGTATTGCTAATTGATTTCGGATTACTTAACTAAATTTTAGTATCAGAGAGTTTTCATTCTCAACTAAAGCACCGTTTAAGAAATAAGATTAGAATAAAAATCCTAACAAAATTATAAAAATGTATGTAATTATTATTTAATTTACCGAAATATATTTTTTAAAAATCAATTACCATAAAAATAGATTTATTGTTTATGGGGAAAATTCAAGGGATTTAAAAAATGAAACCAAAACAAATATCCTAAACAAGTAAACATTAAATCATTAATAACAAATTTGAATTACATAAATTTTTCTTGTTTCATATCTTGTTTTGTAACTCAACATTAGCAGCGAGGAGTATTGCATCATATGTTATTGTACATAGTGTTTTTTATTTAATTTAATGATTTATTGTAGGCATTGAGTCTGATTAATTGAATAACAAATTCATCATCGAATTATACAACTTAATTATAATGGGATGATATGAAAGTCATCCAATCTAATATGTAAACATGTAATTTAATTAAATTGGATAGTTTGAAATCCGCGTACACTCTTATATAACACTTTCAATTATCTGTGTGAATGTAAGCTACCGGAAATTAAATTGAGAAAGTGTTACTGTTGTGCAAGGTTTGGTTCCTCATTCATGTGTGTCATTTGTTTGTATGGTTTTTGCGTAAATTAAGCTTATAGTGAACGTTGAATGACGCAGTTTATCCTATTTGAATTGCTCCACCGATGCCGTCCAATTAAAGTTGAATATGGAAGTACTCGAATATAATTTTTTGAATTAAATATATTTTTAATCCATAAATTTTTGTCAATTTCTTAGTCTAAATAAATTTTATTTGACTTTAATCCCTTGTCAATTACTGCATAATTTATTTATTTATTTTATATCCAAATGAAATTAAACATCTCAGTCATTGTCATTTATCAGCAAACTTATTCCAACAAAAATAATCGTATTATTTAAATAATATAATTTTCACTGCTTTCCCTAACACCCTAACAAGCAGGAAATGGAAGGATTTATTCCATTGAACCTTAAACTCGGCACCAAAAATTAGAATCCCGAAATCAACGATAAAAAGCCGAAGATGTGCCTCATAAAGATACTTGGCATTAAAAAGGATGAGTTAGTAGATATATACACATGTGACAGCTGATATTTACCACCACCTATGGCCTCCATTCTATAAGACCAACTTAAATACCAACTAATTCTCCAAAATTGGATTAAAGAATGAAAAACAATGTTAGAAGAAACCTATAAATCCCAATTTGGGCTTTCTATATCCTTTCAAGTTTCCTTCTAACCCATTCTGATATTCTCTTGATGTTGCTCAACAGCTGACCATTTTTTGTGATTGTAAAGAAGTCTTCGGCATTTGCTAACATTACCAGTATATCATGCTTGACACCTTCCACACTTCGATAGTAGTCATTCCAGTTAAGATCACGTATTTAAACTGTCGCTTTCTCTTTTTTACTTTTTGTGTACTTGATTTCAAGGCACGGAAATTGCCGGAACAGGCCTGCCTGCATAAAAATACTGGAAAATATAATGCGTGGGAGAGGCAATCACTGGTTGTTGCTGAAGGACACGAATAAATAAGGTGAATGAAATTTTAAATAAATAAATAAATAAAAAAGTGAAAATGAAACAAAATAAAATAAAATAAACACCTTGAAGGAGTCGCCTAGTGAAATGGTTTGTTCCCAGAACCAGGCACAAATGGAGCGATCCAGGCGGTGCCCCGTGAGCTGCTTCTCCAGCATTAACTCTCTACCCATGAAATTAAATTCAAATTGCAGTCAAATTAACACTGAATTTCAAGCAAGTGGAGCAGACTCAAAGCATACATGTGAAAAATAATCGAATACATAATTTTGATTAACACTGAATTTCAAGCAAGTGGAGCAGACTCAAAGCATACATGTGAAAAATAATCTAATACATAATTTTGTTTATCTTACCCGGCATCTGAGACGAGAAATATGCACTGCAACATCACTCTCTTACTCTCGAGTGAACCCCAAATCGGAAGGAAGAAAAGTGCGTAAAATAACTTACAGTGAAGCAATGAGTCATCTTTGAAATGATTCCAACCAGAAGAAGCTGGCAAACTTAGCTGCTGACATGGATATCCAATCTCTATCTTATTAATTTAATCTTTAAATACTTTAATTTTCATATATTTATATTATCACTGTATTGTATTCTAATCAATCCTGACAGTCCATGCTGACTATGACCAATCTTGAGAGAAAAGAAGACAAGACAAATTTTTATTTAAAAAATTATTCAGAATTTTGATAATTTTATCTACGAAAAGATAAAGTGATAAATTATGTAAAGTATCTGTTACCGTCGATTACTTGATTCTCTTAAATAGGATTGGTAATAGTTGGAAAAAGATATAAAAATTAGTATACGAAAACTGAAATTAGTACCAAACTAAAATCAATTAAATATGTATTCTTTTATTTACTGTTATAAACAATATATAATTCATTTTAAAAATAGAATATATAATCCCGTCTCCCTTGCCCTCCAAAATCCATTTCTCAAATTTATCTTTTTTCTTTTTTTTCTTTTTTGTTGTTTAACAAAATAGCGTAAGTGCAAGTAATCTACATCAACATTACTAGTAAAATATAGGTTTTTTTTTTGAAAGTGCAGTAATGGATTTCGCAATGTTTTGGTCATTGAGACAATTATGACCGGTTACTCGTGATGATGCAACATCGTCGTTTATTATTATCCTTCAATTTGCATGAGTCAATATCACCACATCGTCTTTTATAATTATCCTTCAATTTGACAATTTCCATGAGTCAATATCCTGATCATATGCTGTAAAGATTTGTTGCAATTGATACAGTCATACATAATATGAATCGTAGCCCTTCGATGCAAAAAGAATACAAGAAAAAAAGATTTACAACTAAAAACAACTGTTCTACTATGCAATTCGATCGTCAAAGTCTCATTCAAGCCATTTCATATAAAAAGTACAAAATTTTGCAGTTGTTGTATTAGTCACTATGCAAGTTCAATGAATCCAATCCGATGCTAGCCGAAATAATCATGTACAACCTTCCACCGCATCTCAATAATGCACGGTTCAACTTGCATTTCCATTTTTGACAATCAGACGACACTGAATGCTGACTGGAGGGTAGACGAGAACCGAGAGGCAATTGTCTGAGAGGCAAATTGTTGAATCTGCTTCTTGGCATCTGAAAAACAACCAATCAGTTTTAGCCATTGCGAGTTTTTCCATTAAAGCTTAAATGGTATATTGATATTCATTTGGAGTACGAAGAAAAATCCTTCCTGTTGGGTGGGAAGAGGACACACAGAAGGACAGAGCTAATAGAACCACTATTCTCAAGATATGGAGTAGAACTAACCTTGAAGAAACTCCTAACTTCTAAGGCATGTATGTTTCACAAACATCCAAATTATTCGAACTCAAACATGCATTCACGGGAGTACGATCAATTAAACCAGATGCAATGCAGAAAATATTGATATAACAAAAAAAAAACACGACCCAGAGTTCCCAATCACACCAAAACAGGGTACTACTACAAGGAGTTATTCCTTTTCACAAACTATGTCCAAAATGACTTTACAAAAGAAACCATCCATTATTATTACAGACAATAAAATCTCTTATCCACACTATTCATATGACTTATGGTCGATTCGAAATTATGATCTGACTTCAAATTCACCTGCCCGAGTAAGAGCTCGAAAACCTTTGTAAAATCGGTATGGTACAGTCTTCAGATCCAATTTATCTATTTGCAGACCAGAGAGGGCAACACCCATTATCCTAAAACCAACTTGAAATGTAGGGAAGACATGAAGGCGATCCAATCCAGTTTCAATCACTAATGTTCCAGACAGGGAAGGAGCTTTATCTTTTGGGATTCGATCAATGGACCATATGCATGTCTGGTATAACAAGATATAAATAAAGAATTAAATTATATAGCAAAATTGTGATTTTAAGTACTTCTCACAATTCACTAAAAGCATTATACTTGTGCAAATTATGTACCTTTTTAGCAAGGATGTTTACTGTTCCATGGTTAGAAGTCAGATCAGCTGATAATATGAAAGGAGGGAGCTGAAACTGAACAGTGACGGAGTCAATTGTCTTTCCAGGATCATTTCTTATTCCAACCAATACACTAACACGGCATGTCCCACCATCTGAAGTTAACTGTGGCTTTACATATATTGGGGTGCTCTTCAACTTTCTAACTCTGAAAAGTGAAGTGCTTGAATTATTGAGAGAACACAATGTGGGAATGCAAACAGAGAATTCAACATTCACAACTACAACTGTAACCAAAATGACTTTCTACAGGCACGTTTTTTCTTCATGATACAAAAGAAACAGCTTCCACCAAGCTGGTTTCAAATCCTGATTCAGGCGACAAAAGAGGATACTGTACCTGTAACTCATCAGCTTAAACTGTCCATCAGGAGGCACAAAAGAAAGAATTTGATGAGACTCCCAAGGCCGAAATCGAACACAGGGATGGAACCTCACATCATCAAGGATGGAAGGATTTGTAAATGAAAGGGTTAAATCAGGAAGACCTGAGATCCGTGAATTTACTTGAACTTCACCATAGATCTCACATTTCACCAAGCCCCCATCCCTGAATGAATAAAATTCTTTAGCTGTGACTACAAAGAAAGAAGCGAATTCTCCACAAGATAAAAACTACTAAACAGCGGTCTCAACATGATTTGTAATACATTTCTACCAATAAAGTTCCGCAAGTTCAAGCTACCAAGAGTCAGCAATATCCCATTCACAAAACTTTTAAAATAGATATCTCATTCACCAAAACATTGTAGCTAATAAGACAATAATTAATTACCAAAAGGTAAAAACACTGTCTATAGTTTTAAGAAGTGATAACAGAGAATGAGCATATAGACCTGCTTACAATCACATCCATTTCTTCAACAAGGTCTACATAGACTTCATTGTTGGCGTACTTTGGCTCTGCTGTTCTCCATGGAATACAAGATGCAGTAGCCGCAGGAAGGGTTTCACTCACATTTGAACTGTTACCAGTCACAATGCTCAAGGCTTTGTTAACCATATTCGGTGGAGCAATCATCTCTCGCAGGATACTAGGTTCTGTAGTTAAGGGGAAGCCATTGTCTATCATCTCATCCAACAGCTACAAGTACAAAATAACTAATTAGTTTGCATCTAGAGCCCCCTTAATGGCCATTGAGGTATACCTTTTGCAACTCATGATGTGAAGCCACTTTGTTTACTTTTCAATTTTCTCTTAACTATATGATTTTTAGTTTCTTTGTAGGGTAGCTGATGTCCTCAATGGCTGTGGAGAACTAAATTTTCTGTCATCTTCACCTTCAGGTGCTTCTGTTACAAGATTAGGCCCCATTAAAGAGGAATTTTCAGAGATAACAATACCTCTAGCACCAGTTTGTTAGGCAACTGGCATTAAAAGAGAGAATAAAAGGATAGAAGAGAGAAATAAACAATACTAAGAGTATTTGTTTTTGGTGTGTCTTCTATCCTTTTATTCTCTCTTTTAATGCCAGTTGCCTAACAACTGGTATCAGAGCTCTAGGTTCGGGAGAGTATTCTTAGTATGCTCTGTGGTTGCAGTTTTATCTGATCTTCCACAACAGAAAAGAATAATCTTCAGTTTAGAGAGTGAGAGGAGAGTATTCTTAGTATGCTCTGTGGTTGCAGTTTTATCTGATCTTCCACAACAGAAAAGAATAATCTTCAGTTTAGAGAGTGAGAG